CAATTGTTAGAATTGAAACCTAATGAGTATTACCTGGGAGTGACTCGACTGGGCAAATACGTTATTAAGAAAATGAATACTTCTCTCAAGTAAATGGATACTTGGCAAAAATAATTTTTTTTTCTCAGTGTGGAAATGATAGTCGCTAGAAGCTTGAGTTCCATCTCATTCGAACCCATTTTGGTGTTGCCATGTGAGCCTGGGTCTTTCTATGAATTTCCGGTTGAGGAAACAATTGTCTTCAATATTTTATGTGAGACAACAACATTGAAAAAGTCAAAAACCAACACTGTCACAATTCCGAAACGATTAGAAAGTTCAATCCGCCGTATATTTATTAATTATCAAATGAGTCAGGATTCTTAACCCTTTGCTCCGTCTTACGGTACTCCGCTTTTCGCCGTTTTATAGTAGTGTGTGTGCGCCAGTGTGCTTTTCTTTTGGCGCACCAATACTCGGATGGACCCCCCATTCCTCTTACACTGAGTCGATTCAAGCTTCACGCGAAGCAATGGGTTAAGTGTCCCCTCCCTCACTGTAACGTTCAGGTGGATAATTATAAGTTTCGAAGTAGAATATGGCTTGAAATAAGTCACTTTTTCAACTATTACTATTCATGATATTTTTTTTCACACCCCTGCACGGCAAGTTAGTATTTTGCAGGCGTGTTAAAAAATCGCATGTACAACTCGTGCGGAAAGTCTTGACTTTCCGCCCTTGAGGCGCAATATACTATTTTTTTGGTCATTCACGCAATGTTTCCGGAAAAGAATTTTTCTACAAAAAATCACTTGTTTAATGAAGAGCCACGGGAAAATATCGATAATTATATCCCCACGTTATCCTCAAAATTTTAGATAAAAAAAAGTTTTCGACTAATTGCAGATTGAAAGAAAATTATGATTTTGCCATAACGGCTCTATAAATTGAATAAATTGGATTCAATTGTGCTTATCTTGAAGCTTTTCCAATTAACTTCCAATGTCTCGAAACGAAAATTCGATTCATAATGATTAAATTCAATTATTTCACCTTTTTCTCGAACAATCAAAATTCAAGGGTATAAGTGAAATTGTTTGAAAAATTATAACTCGCTGAAAAATAAACCAATCACTTTGAAAAATTTATGAGAGCTTGACATCATATAATCCTTCAAAAAAAAAATCGGCAGGAAAATCGGAAACATGACTTTTTTCAACTTCTCGACCCGAAGGGAGGAAGTTATTATAATTCCCCTGAAAATCAAAAGTGGAATTTTCACGATTTGTCGACGTTTTATAACTCCTCGAAGCATACTGACACGTTTTTGGAACCACGTTTTGTGGTGTGTGTGTGTGTGTGCGTGTTTTTAGAAATTTTATTATTATTCTAGTCTGTCGGAGAATGCATTTACGCATCCCTACTTGGAGGAAGAAATCTGTGATAGCCTCCTTGAAGGAGGGAATCACAGATTTCCTCCTTCAAGGAGGTAATATCGGTCTTGGATCAATGTCCCATACCGACTAAACTCCTGTCAGACTTATATTCATTAACATTTTATCCCCTCACGGCACCACCGATCAGTATTACTTCGAGAAGGATGTCTCAGCCATTTGATTTTCCACATTGTTTGCATCTGGTGTACATCCTCCTATCCCGCTAGGATGTTAGATGTGGGTAGGAGGCGCTAAAAGATATCTCACATATGCTGCAGCCTTGCGCTTGCGTTCCTCACTTATAAGCGCCTTCATGACTGCTGCCGCGAAGTTGCTCGTTGCGTCCCAGGCTGTCTACTATTACAGTAGCTTCCATCAAATTCTCAGGCAAAACTTTCTTTTCGAGGGCTAATTCCCGTGTACTCCGATGTCACTGAAACAGGGGCATCTGAAAATCATATGCTCTGAATCTTCGTCGACCCGTGTGCACACAGGGCACTCCAGGGAATCCTCATGTTTGAATTTATGAAGATGCGCCGGAAGCACCCATGTCCCGAATGGATTTGTGTCAGATAGTAATTAACCTCACCATGGGTACGGTTTAACCAAACGCCTACCTATGAGATCAGACGGTGAGTCCATCTCCCATTAGACGAGATGTCCCACTTCAGCTGCCATTGCTGCAGACTCTGTCACATCTCTTTTGCGCTGAGTTCCACTGCGTTCAGTGCTTCCGATTTCCTCCGCTGATATCATGACCTTCGTTCTTCGGTCAATATTTCTATAGGGAGCATCCCGGCGATGATGCATACTGCATTCTCGCGCACCGTACAGTAGGCGCTCGCAACTCGCAGAGCACTCATTCGGTAGACTGGTGCCACCTTCCGCCATGATTTTTGCAGGTGTAGTGCATCGATCCAAATGGCAATACCGTACGTGAGCACCGATGTGACCACCGAGGACAGTAATGCCCGTCTTCTCTACTTTGGATCTTCTATTGTTCGATGCCGGGTCTGAGATCTGTGGAATGAGCGAGCGATGAGTAAGATGCGAATGGATTTTTACGGGAGCGCGAGAAGGTCCAGAAATCACAACACGTGCACGTTGATCACAAAAGACAGTTTAATTATCACAATAAATAGTCAATATTTACACGTGTTGAGTTTAGCGTAATTATCGAGATGGTCAAAACAAATAGCGCGGGTCACAATAAAAATTAACGCAGTTCAAAGCATTAAATAACGCAGGGAAATTAATACGCGAAACTCGAGAGAAACAATATACTCGCAGAACAGAATGTATACAATACGATGGCCGAAAAGCAAAAGAGAGCGATTAACAGGCCACGAGGTGGCTGGTAGCAAAATTCAGAGGTGTGAACGTGCCCCAAATTGTAAAAGGGGGCGTTCACCGGACACCTGTCCATCATGTGGCGCCTCAGGTGTCAGAGGTGAGAGGCCACTGTTCATTTGAGGCGATTGCGCAGGTCAGTTGTGCGAAGCCATGCAAGCATGCGATCAGAGCGAGTGTGCGTGAGTACGTCTTTGTGTTGTAAAGGATTTTTCCCGGTGGGTGGCCAGGAAAAATCACAAACTACTTTGGAACTTCTCTATCGCTCAATAAGTTTGCTAGTCACCCACCGGGAAAAATCCCAAACTACTTTGGGACTTCTCTATCTCTCAATAAGTTGGGCGCCAGCTAGATTTTTACGGGAAATCTAACGGTAAATCGGCCTCGGAGGCAAACTCGTCTACTCCGAGGATTTCTCGTGGCGGGTCTATCGATGCCGCGCCAGCATCAGTGTATCACGGTAGAGTGGGCGAGGTCCAACTTACTAGGAGTCTGACATTTTCCCCATTAACGGCCATTTCGGACCGTATAACGACAACCAACGTATCTATCGGGAGATATTTCTCTGGGTCCTTCGTCGAGGACTTTTCCAGTCCTCTGACGCCTTCTCTCCTTCTCCAGAACGGCTCCATCCTGGAGAGGTGACGATCACCTGCGAATCCTTCTCACTCCTCGGAGCGCCGCATATGGAGAGGCACATGCGACATCGGTATCCGGAGACGCATTCTCACCCACCGAATGCCCACCCCAACTCTCCACACACATTAATAGCACTATCATCGCGGGCCATAACTGCAACTACACGTCGTGGAGGTACGTGCGATCGGATTGTCCGGAGTCTGCAGAATTCCCGAATCCACGGATCCACCCCAACATCACTTCTTTCGCCTCAAGATATGGATCCCTGGAAACGTGAATAAACTACACCTCACGAATCCAAAGTGATACAATCATTTCTTGTGTGTGGGACGCCGAAGCGTCCCACTCTCTCGCTGTTTCGAATCTCGTTCGAACAACGTCCCCTCAGAATCCACTGTGAATTCATGCCACTGTCAGTTTGGTCGAGAACCGGAGTGAAGCCCATCCGCTCGACTCAAGCATCCGTCACCGACTGTCTCGAAATCTCCTAGAGCCTTACCCCCTAGTCTGAACATCTCAGCGGCCGATGGGTCATCCGTTACCCCACCACCACCGATCAGTTCGACGGCAGTCGAGAGGGCGCTAGTCCTTGCACCTAGCTCGTTGGTCTCTAGTCTAAGTCGATAGCGCCTTTAGAATCGCCTGGTTGGAACGCCTGTACGTCGGCCCGACAATCCCCAAACACAGCCAGGTGGGTTTCTAAATATAACGACAGCATATCGACGGCCTGTCTATAATGTTCGGATGCATGGTTTCACCCAAAACCACGCCTCTTGGCAATATTCCCTTGGTCTTCTCACCCTCGGCGCGGCTATTGCCGCCGTCCGATGTCGCTCTGATCTGCCTCTCGGCCTTTGCAAGCCGGTGGTAGATGTCGCTTCCTACCATTTTCCATCGTTTTCACGCACACTTGAATTATTCATTGCGCAAGAGTGATATTATTACTCGTAACGAGAAAATCTCGTTACAGTATATATGTGAAAAATAATTCGGTGGGAAACCAAAAACCTATATTGGGCATGAGACGCGATAAGTTTGCTCTGACTCCAGAAGTCTTGAAACCCACGTGCTCCGCTTGCTGCTTGAAATTTAGTCGGGCGTCGACCATCACCCCGAACTGTCGCATGAACGGGTGGAAAGTGATTTCGCTGGGTCCGAACTGCAGCATGTTTGTCTCAATTTTTTTCCTGCTAGTGATCAACACGGCTTCTGCAGCCGATCATCTCGAAGGTTGTGTCGAAGGTAAAGTTGATCTCTTCCAAGTATTCGCCCACAATGACTACGACCACGTCATCTGCAAATGCCACGAGTATGGTATCTCAGAGAGTGTGTATGTGTGTGCATGTGTTTTTTTGAGGGTTTTGAAAAAAATGCTTACGCACGATAGTGGACTGTCGTCACACCTTGTGTCGGACCTGCTCCTACTAAAAACCTCACCTCGAAATTCTTCGGCCCTTTGCTTCCCTCGCAGCGCCGCCGTTAAGTATTACTTCGCGAGGGAGATTTTAGCTTTTTCCTCGTTCAATGTGTTTCCATCTAATATACATCCCCCTGTCTGACTAAGGTGGTGAGTGTGGGCAGGGTGTTCCAATAGATTTAGCGTCTATCCTGCAGCTTTCGCCTGCGATCCTCATTTCTGAGCTCCTTTATGACTTCTGCCACGTAGCTGCTCGTTGCGTCCCAGCCTGCCTTCGAAAAGAGCATAGCTTCTACCAAATTATCAAGCCGGGTCGTTCCTCCAAGTGCAGACTTGCAGGTGTCGCGAATCATGCTGAAGCGGGGGCAACTGAAAGCCACGTGCTCGGCGTCTTCATTTACTCCTATGCAGGCCGGACACTCCAGGAAATCCTCATGTTTAAATTTGTGAACATAAGCCCGGAAGCACCCAGGTCTTGACAACATCTGTGTCAGGTAGTAATTCACCTCTCCGTGACTACGATTCAGCCAAACGTCCACCTGCGAGATGAGACGGTGAGTCCATCGCACATTCTGCGAGGCATCCCACTACAGTTGCCATCTCTACAAGCTATTTTTTTTTCTCTTTTGCCCTGAACTCTGAACCGCTCAATGTATTCGTTCCTCTTCGCCGATAGAAGAATTTTCGTTCTTCGGCTAGTACTTCAATGGGAAGCATCCTGGCAATAACACACACCGCATCCCCGGACACAGTGCGGTATGCACTGGCAACTTTAAGTTCCCTCAATCGATAAACTGGTGCAATGTTTCGTCATGATTCCTGCATCTGACCACCGGACGTGAACACGTGACCGTGACCACCGGAGACAACAGAGCTCGTCTTTTCTGCTTGGGTCTTCCCATGTTGGGCATGATGTGTGATAAGCTGGCTCTGACTCCAGACGCTTTAGTGCTCACATGCTCTGCTTGCTGCTTGAAATTCAGTCTGACATCACCCCCAGATATCGAATAATCGATTGAGAGGTGAGCTCGTAGTCACCGACTTGCAGTGTGATTGTCTCCAATTTTTTCCTGCTCCTGATGAGTACCGCTTCCTGTTTTATACTCCGCCAGATGCAAACTAACTGAGTCCATCCACTGACGTATCCTCCTGAATGTCGTATTGAAGATGGCTTTGATTTCCTCCAAATGTTTCGCCACAATCACCACAATAGGTCATCCCCAAATGCCACCAGTCTCGCCTCACTTGGCAGGGCTACCTTCAGCAATCCATCATACATGATGTTCCATAAAAGAGGACCCAGCACCGAGCCAGGGCCGAGAACTCTCTCGGTGAAGTAGCTATCTACCATCCTCTGCAGATATCCTCGTACGGTCATACTCTCGAGAGCCTCCATGATGCAGTCCCATTTAGCTGAGTTGAAAGCGTTGTTGATGTCAAGCGTCGCCACTAGACAGGACTTCTTCGTACCTTCTCCCAATCTTGTCGCAGAGATCGCCTCCTTAGCGGTGCTGATGACGAGGTCAATGCCATCGAGGGTAGAGCCACCCCTCCGGAAGCCATATTGGTTATCAGCTAGCAGCGGTTGTACTGTTGCTTCTATTCTTCTGTGGATGATACGCTCGAGAATTTTCCCAGCTGTATCCAGCATACATAGAGGGCCATAGGATGATGGTTCGTCCAGTGGCTTTTCCCTTTGGGGAGGAGCACTAACCTCTGCTGCTTCCACTTGGCGGGGGAGGTTCCCTCCCTCAGCCATGCGTTGTATACGTCCAGGAACAGTCCCGGTGCTGCACGGATCGCTGCTTTCAGCGCAATGTTGGGGATGCCATCAACACCAGGAGCCATGGTGTTCCCCACTCTACTGCAGGCTTCCTCCAGTTGCTCCTGTGTAATTGGTGGAATAGATGTTTCCGCACATTGCTCTGTGAACTGGTGAAGCTCCGGTTGTTGAAGAAACAACACCACCACGATATTTTCTAGGAACTTGGGGCATGTCAGTGATGGCATAGGCTGTTTTGTCAGCCACGTCATGACCATCCTATACGGCCTATCCCACGCATCAGCCTCGACCTCGTCGAAGAGTTCAGTCCAGCATTGCCTCTTGCTGCACTTGATCGCTTTGTTGAGCTTTCGACGTGCATTTTTATATTTTGTCTTCAGTTTTTCGGGGTTTCCCTTTTTCCGACTAGGCTTCGACGACCTTCTCGCCTTGCCGCACTCCTCGCGGAGAGTAGCGATCTCATCGTTCCACCAGTGCACCGGTGGCAGACGGTTTCCACTGCGTTTGCGGGGCATGGAGGCATCACAGGCCTTGGCAACTCTTCTCATGAAATGCTCGACATTCTCTGTAGCACTACTATCACTGATCGGGTGATCATTTAGTGCCGCTACGAATAAGCTAGGATCGAAGGTGCTCCCCTTCCAGCCGATTTCGTTGGTCTTCTCAGGTGTTGATCTGATCCTTTGGCTAGTGAATACCTCCCAAAAAATTGCTCGATGATAACTAGTGGTGTAGATGTCTATCACCTCCCGGGAGTAATTTCCTCTTGCGAGGCTGCTGCTAACAAACTCGAGATCTACGATTAAGCTGGTCTCTCCTCTTACAAAGGTGGGTTCAGCAACATTAGCAAGACGACGTCCAGTGTAGACATGGCCTCTAATAGTGTTTGCCGCCTTGTTTTGGTCTCTTTGCTGCTCCTGTCGACTGCCCAAGCATTGAAGTCCCCAGCAATTGCCACGGGAAAGTGCGGCTTCGCGTCCTTGATCAGTCTGTGCAGGAAGTCCGTCCAACTCGTCCAACGTCAGGCTCGGTGGAGCGTAACAGTTGTAAAAGTGGAGTCCTTCCAGCTTAGTTACCACGGAACCAGCCTACTGACTATTCGTAATACTCTGGAATGGGAGCTTGCCACAAGACCAGATAGCGGCCTTGCAATTTTTATCCGTCTCCCAGAGTTGGGTGTCCAAATGTGTGTATAGCTCCAAAATGATCACTAGATCGATGTTCAGCTCCCGCACCGTCTGTATAAGCAAGTCGTGTGCTGCCTCTCAATGGTTGAGGTTGAGCTGTAGAACCCACATTATGGTTTGATGTTCATCTTCTAGAGTGCTTCCATGAAGACAGAGCATCTGCTACTACCAGCAATATAGGCACAGTACTTCGTTCGGTCTTTCTCGATGTACCAGATACAGCGAGCTTCCTTCTCACAGGCAGCAGCTTTGCGGCCACACTCTGTACAGAGCTTTGCTCGGTCCACTTCACTTTTGCATTTGATGGCGAGATGTCCATAGTGCCAGCATTTAAAACACTTGACCAGTCTCTCCACCCTCCAGATCCGGCAGTTGAACCATCCTATACGAAGCTTACTTCGTTCGCCCAACAATTTCTTCGCGACTGCTGCAGCCATCGTCACCAATGCAATTTGGGTACCTCTATGGTCCTTGCCCAAGGATCTGTCGGCGTCCAGAGATATTTAGCAATCCAACCCAGCTGCGAGTTGTAAGATTTCGAGCACCTCCTCCTTCGTGGTCAGCTCATCCAGGTCCTTGATCTCGAGATCTTCTTGTGGTCCTTTACTAAGGACATCGGCATCATCTTCTGGGAACTCGGCTATAGCTTTGTGTAAGCCCACCGTTTTGACCTCCTTGTCTTTTGCAAAGATGATCAGCATATCCCCAGTGGTTATTCTGCGGATCTTGTCAACGCAATCACTAGCCTGCTCGGATGATATCTGCTGTTTCACAGTTTTGAGCATCTTTGAGTACTGCTGCTTGTCGTTCGGGCGAAGAATCAACGCGTTTGGCCTCGCTGCTCAACTCCCTTGTTTCTTCTTCTCCTTCTTATTGGGCGGCTTCTTTGACGGCTTCGGTTTCTGCCTCTCCCTTTTACTCTTAATCTGCTCTCATTCCGATGACTCCAGGTGGATTCTCTCTTTTGCTCTGGGCGTGAGCGGCCTCCCGCTCTTGCTTTTTCATCTTGGGATCCCTCGCAGCAGCACCGCTAAGTATTACTTCGCGATGGAGGGCTTAGCTATTTGCTCTTCCACGTTGTTTCATCTAATGTACGTCCCCCTGTCCCGCTGAGATGTTGGTTGCCGGGAGGAGGTTCCAGTAGATTCCTCATTAATTCTGCAGCTTTCCGCTTGCGTTCCTCATTCCTGAGCTCCTTCATGACTTCGGCCGCGAAGTTACTCATTGCGTCCTAGGCTGCCTGCGATGACAGCATAGTTTTCACCATGTTTTCAGGTAAGACTTCCCTTTCAAGGCCAGATTCCCAAATTGGTCGGAACTTGCTGAAGCGGGGGCATCTGAAAAATACATGATCCTCATCTTCGTTGACGTTGGTGCAGGCTGGGCATCTCTTCCAGGTATTTGCCCACAATAACCGCAGCCACATCATCTGCAAATGCCACCAGCTTAGTTTCCCGCGGCAGTTCCGGCTTCAGTAGTCCATAGTACATGATTTTCCACAAAAAGGGACCCAATATCGAGCCTTGAGGTACACTTCCGGTGACTCTGTAGTTCTCGGAACCGTCCTCCGTATCGTACTTAAGGACGCTTCTAGTGAAATAGCTGCCGATCATTTTCTGCAAGTATTCCGGTACGTTGAACTTCGCGAGAGCTTCCGTTATACGATCCCACCTCGCCGAGTGGAAAGCATTCTTGATGTCCAGTGTCGCTACTAGGCAATATTTCTTCGTGCCATTGAGCCATCTTCTGCCTGAGATCGCGTTCCTGGAGGTGTCGACGACAAGGTTGATAGCATCCAGAGTGGATCAGCTTTTCCGGAACCCATATTGGTTGTCCGTCAACAAGGGTTCGACTGCTGTTTCTCTTCGTTGATGAACAATACGCTCGACGATTTTGCCAGCGGTATCAAGCATACAGAGTGGACGGTATGATAACGGGTCATCCGGTGCTTTTTTCCCTTTCGGGGGTAGCACTAATCTCTAGTGCTTCCACATGGCGGGGAAGGTGCGCTCCCTCAGGCACTCGTTGTATACGTCCAAAAACTTCTCCGGCATCGCGTGGATAGCCGCCTTCTGGACGATATTGGGGATTCCATCCAAGCCAGGGGCCTTGGTTTTACCCATCCTGTTGCAGGCTTCAATCAACTCTACTCTGGTGATTGGTGGCAACATTATCTCTTCTTCCTGCACATCGGGATGATGGAGTTACGGTTGTTGCGGGAACAAAACTGTGACGATTTTCTTCAGCAACACAGGACACGTAGGCGTTTGCATTGGTTGACTCTTGAGTCGCGTCATCACCACCTTATATGGTCTACCCCAAGGATCACCTTCCACCTCATCAAGGAGCTCACTCCAAAATTGCGCTTTACTGCACTTGATTGCCTTGCTGAGTTTCCGGCGTGCCGTCTTATATCTCTTCTGCAGCTCCTCAAAGTCTGCCTTCTTACGGCCACGCTGAGACAATCTCCTGGCTGAATTACACTTCTTCCATAATATGGCGATCATGTCATTCCACCAATAGACCGGAGTATGGTGATTTGTGGTCCGTTTTCTGGTCATGCTGGCATCACATGCTTCTATTACTTGTTTTATAATGGGCGTTCATCTAACGCTGCTGAAAAAGAGCTAGACTGCAAGGTGTTCACTCTCCAGCGAATGCAATTTGCCTTCTTAGGCGTTGAGATGAATCTCTGGCGAGTACATGTCTCCCAAACTATCGCACGGTGGTCGGTTGCGGTGTAGATATCAGTTACTCTCCATGAGCAATCTTTGCAAGACTGCTGCTCACGAAGGTAAGGTCCACTATTGAGCTCGCCTCTCCCTTCATGAAGATCGGGTCATCGCTGCTGTTTAGCAGGACTACGTGCAGCGATGACATGGCTTCCAGTACAGCTTGCCTCTTGGTGTTCGTCACTTTACTTCCCTAGTAGACTGCTCAGGCATTGAAGTCCCCGACTATTGCCACAGGAAAGTGCTGCTTCGTATCCTCAGTCAGTCGATCTAGGAAGTCCGTGAATTTCTCGGTGGAGAGGCTCGGCGGGGCGTAGCAGCTGTAGAAATGAATTCCATCAACCTTAGCTTTCACAAAACCATTTTGTGTACTGTTGCTGGCGGTGCTTTGGAATGGACGTTTACCACAAACCCAGATTACGGCCTTTGTGCTAGCGTCAGTGACCCAGGGTTGAGCGTCCAGGTAACGATACGGGTCAGAGATGATGGCGAGATCGAGCTTCAACCCCGGCGCCATCTGCATAAGCAGGTCGTGTGTTGCCTCACAGTGGTTGAGATTAAGTTGGAGTACCTTCATCGTCATTTGTTGAGGACCCTCTGGAGTACCTCCTTATATACTGCATACCTACTACTACCAGCAATGTGGGCATAATTCTTCGTGTTGCCTTTTTCGGTGCACAAAGCGCATCGGGGCTTCTGCTTGCAGTCCGAAGCCTTGTGGCCAGTCGCTGAGCATTTGGCGCAGAGTTTGGACTGGTCGACTGTATTCGTGCACTTCGTGGCGAGATGTCCGTAGTGCCAGCATGCAAAACACTTTATCGGTCCCTCCACTTTCCTGATACGGCAATTGACCCAGCCTAATTTGATTTTCCCTTGCTCTCTCAGGATCTCTTTCGCCGCAGTTGCTGCGAGTGTAACTGAGTCCGTCTGGGTTCCGCTGCGTTACGCAGCAATTTGATAGCCTTAGCAGATATTTGTGTGTGTTTTTTATATAGAGGTTTAGGAAAATCCTCAAAACATTCTGGTAAAGTGATAGTATAAACCAGATCTGGGATTCTTACCCAGTAAAAACCCTTTCCCCTCTTTTCATCTATCCTCAGTTCCTCCAAGGGACCGCCGGCAGGCATTCTGTCTTGGGGGAAATATTCTAGCTATGGCTTTTCCTCTTTTTAATGCTGTACCGTACGTCCTCCTTCCTCACTCAGATCTTGGGATGAGTTGGAGGTTCCGGTAGCTTCCTCTCCTATGCAGCATTTTTCTAACAGTGCTCTTCCTCGCGAAGCTCCTTCATAACATTCGTCGTGAAATCGCTCATTGCGTCCCAGGCTTCCTGTGATGACAGCATTGCCTCCATCAAGTTCTCCAGCTGAATCGTTCCTTCAAGGGCAGACTCCCACTCGGAGCGGCTCTCACTAAAACGCGAACATACAAAAAATACATGCTCCGCGTCTTCTTCAGCACCTGTGCACGACGGGCAAGTCGGAGAATCCTCATGTTTGTATTTGTGAAAATACGCCCGGAAGCAGGCGTGTAGTGAAAGCATCTGAGTCAGGTAGAAGTTCGCCATGTTCACGGTTCAGCCGAACACCTTTCTGAGGGATCAAGCGATAGGTCCATCTCCCTTCCAGCGACACGTCCCGATGTGATTGCCATCGTTGCCTGCTGCTTGAAATTTAGTCGGGCATCGATCATCAGTCCCAGATATCGAATAAACGGCTGTGTTATGAGCTCGTAGTCACCGACTTGCAGCGTGATTGTCTCCAATTTCCTCCTACTTGTAATGAACAGCGCTTCCATTTTACACTCCGCGAATTGCACACCAATTAAGTCAATCCACTGGCGTATGCTTCTAAATGTCGTGTCAAAGATGGAGTGGATTTCCTCCAGATCCTTCGCCAAAATCAACACCGCCAGATCATCCGCAAATGGCACGAGTTTCGCCTCCGTTGGTAATGCTACCTTCAGCAATCCATCGTACATGATGTTCCACAAGAGAGGGCCGAGCACCGAGCCTTGAGGTACCCCTCCGGTGACTTGGTACTCTAGGACCGCTCTCTGTGTCGTACTTGAGAACTCTGTCGATGAAGTAGTTAGCCACCATCCTTCGCAGATATCCTGAAACAATCATCCTCTCGAGAGCCCCCATGATGCAGACCCACTTGACTGAGTTGAAGGCATTCTTAATATCCAGCGTCGCCACTAGACAGTACTTCTTCGTACCTTCTCTCCATATTTTTCCAGAGATCACCTCCTTGGCGGTGCTGACGACGAGGTCAATGGCATCGAGGGTAGAGCGTCCTCTCCGGAAGCCGCATTGGTTATCGGCTAGCAGCGGTTCTACTACTGCTTCTATCCTTCTGTGGATGATACGCTCGAGAATTTTCTCAGCTGTATTTTGCCTACAGAGTGGGGGATATGATGATGGTTCGTCCGGAGGCTACTTTCCTTTGCGGAGGAGTACTAGCCTCTGCTGCTTCCACTTGGCGGGGACGGTGCCTTCCTCTAGGCATGCATTGTACGTCCAGGAGCAATCCTGGTACTGCATTGATCGCTGCTTTCAGCGCAATGTTGGGGATTCAATCAAGGC